AAGAAAGCCAATGCAGAAAGAGGATGATTGGACAGCTAAAGTTTCCTTTAGTTTGAGGAAAGCTAGAGAGTAATCAGGAACATGACCCAGGGAAGTTTGGGAAGTTTTTGCGGTTTAAATGCATTTACATATTCTTCATGTTAAAATAAAAATAAAATTAATATTTATTCTGGAACCTTTACAAAATGGACCTTGTTTACTTCAACTCCATCACAGACCATTCATGAGATCTTGAATGGAAAGGATACAGGAGAGGTGAGCTCTAGTTGTTGAGGCATATGTAGAAGCCTGAGTCGTGGGAACCCTGAGCCCTGTTATTTTATAGAATTCTGTGATCACCATTCCACAAAGGGCTAACAGACTGGAAAGAACTTGTATCCAGAACAGCAAAGACACAATCCCATATACAAGAGGAGAAAAGTCTATGTTCACAGCTATTCATGTGACTTGTGTGAAAGCTTACAATCATACTAGTATGAGAAGAAATATTAAAATAAACTAGTTAATTTGAGAAATAAACCTGCAGTGTGAATCATCCTTCTTTGATAATGGAACCTTGTTATTCACAGCACTCTTCTTGATAATTTCAACCTTCTTTTTCAATTCTTTTTTTCTCTTTTCACCTGGATTCTGCGTAAGCGGATCTGAAGTTTTCAAAAGCAATTGTCAATGAATCTGAACTTAATCCTACCCTGGTTTTGATTTAGGAGCTGTGTACTCATTCATTGAGGTTTTCCTCATTTATTTATAAATACAATGATTAACCTGTGCTCTGTAAAACAAGTGCCTTAGGAAAATTATCTAGACTAATAATTTTCAACAACTGGCATACCATTCTCCATCTTATTACTGTTATTAATAATAGAAAAGTGATGAAGTTGGTGGGTGGGGATTGTTGTTTATACTTTTGTTGTTTTTTGTTTGTTTGTTTTTGTAGTGCTGTTCTTATAATACAACATTATTTTGACAACCTGTGGTAATAAAGTCCCAGTATTACTTCAAACAGAGAAAGTATCACCATGTTCATTAGTGGAATTTTTTTCCCCCTCTGCTATGAGTTTTTTTTTTTTGAGGGTTGTGTAAACTAATTTGTTTAAAGCTTGTGATATGAGCATGGGAAAACCAAAACTTTCGAAATAAGAATAGCAAGACCACCCACAATTGCCAGTTTTATGTGTCACTGCATTTTAACGGTTTCTAGACTAAATAGTACAGAAATAGTGACATCACAAAGCAGATATGAAGAGGTATCTTTTTATTTCCTCTTCAGATTGTTTTTGTACTTTGTATCACTTCTCACTTCATAGATTTTTGTTGGTTTTGTTTGCTTGCTTGTTTTCTTGCAAGGCCGAGCTTGATTCGAACATATATTCTTCCCACAGTCAATAACAGCAATGCTTTTGCTAGTCTGTCCTACAGAGTATTTCATGGCTGTCAACATCATGTTACATGATGCTACATGATTTGCTAATTCTTCTATCTTTGTGGGAAACATACAATCTCAAAAACTGTAATTTGCTGTTCTGCAAACAACTGGGCTTGATATTTCATAACTCCATTTGCTCAGATGACACTGTTGTTTTATATCAATGGATATATACCTTTAATCTTTAATTAAGCATTGATTTCACATGACTTCAGCCCCTTATAGGTCAAATCCTGCTTGCACAACTTACATGTGAAGTCTCTTTTAAGACTGCAGCTAGTCGAGGAAAGTCACAGCATTTGGCTCTAAACTTGTTCTTTTCGGTCTCTCACTTCAGTTGTTCACTCCCAAGTATGATCAGATCAGTATTAACCACTCATTACCTGAACGTCTGCTCTAGATGTGGTTTTGTGGGAAAATAATAATAATAATAATATGAATAAAAAATCGTAGAGTGAAAATCAGAGTAATAAAATCCGGCATTAATTACAGACTGAGTTAACTCTGCCTGACTTAAAACAAACCCCTGCCTTTGACAGGCTGCCATCAGATACCTTTCTGAAGAGAGTCTCTGCCGTTATTCCTGCAGACACAGTGAATATGTACTGATCCTCTTCTGCTGCAGCTTTTGTTTTCAGGCCTCCGTTTTCAATGGTTGCCATAGAATCTACCAATTATCATATGAAAAGGCTCACACAAAACCCCCAAAAGCCTGTTGCTAAAGCCATGAGCAGTTTTCAATTTTCATGTAAAAGAAAAAAACTCTGGAAGTGAAACTGCTTCTGAGGCAGAGGTTGTCTTTAACTCTCCTCCCGTCTTTCTCTGTAAAGATGACTTGATTCTTATTTCTCTCTTAACTACATAAACTCCTAAGTGCATCCTCCTCCTGACAGCCAAAACCATCATAGGCTATTTATCCACCGAAGTAGTTTTAATTGTCGCATAGCCGTACTTTTTTGTTTGTTTGTTTGTTTGTTTGTCTAATTTGTTAGGTAGATTGTTTTAGTATGTTTGATTTTGTTTAAGAAGTTTATTATGTTTGTTTTGTTAAGTACACAAAAAGAATCTAGCTTAAAGTAAATAAAAAATAAAATAAAATAAAATAAAATAAAATAAAATAAAATAAAATAAAATAAAATAAAATAAAATAAATAAATAAAAATTATCCTTCTTACAGAACTGCTTTTGTGTAAATAGATGCAGTGATAATTAGTAAAGCTGAGACCACCAAAAAAAAAAAAAAAAAAAAAGAAAAAACTTGGCATGTTGAGTGCTTGCAGAGCCAGGCACTCAAAGTCAGAGACCCTTTGCAACCTCCAAGTATCCAAGTACCTTCGATTGTGCTTACAGTAGTATACAGCTGGAGACATGAAGACAAGAAACTTAAAACAACCCTGTGAAAGCCAGGAACCACAGAGAAAATATCTGAAAAGTCAACATTTTACACACCGAGGGTGATTATCTCAAAGACTGTTCCTGTGTTTGACTTTTTTTCTTGTCTTTAAAATCCTTATTCAAATAAACAGAAATTATTTCTACATCTAGGCTTGAACTGCATAAAGGTCTGTATAAAATGCAAAACAATTTAAATTATCCTCTCACAGAGACAATGATATTTTTAAATATCATATTTTGCTTATAATTTGCATTTCCTTCAGCATCAGTAGTTCTAATGTCATATGGCCTTTCATAGGATGCTTTAGGCTGCTTTTACAGGCTGTTCTAGAAAGTTGCCTCGTCAGTGGAAGGTGTTTTTTGGTCAAATTGCCTAGCTGTCTGATGAAAGATCTAAGAATGGAGGTGGCCAGCTTATACAGTGCAAGGCAGGATGAACAGGAGAACAACAGGTTCTTTGCTAAAACATTGTAGGGGTAAGATGATACACTCTTCATTTCACAGAAGAGGGGACAGTCAGGCTAGAGGCAGTGAAGATGTGAGACTCAATGATAATGAATTTTGGAAGCTTATGGACTCAATAAGAGGAAGAAAGCTCTTTCTCCAACTGCAGGTGCAGATTTGCTGTCTTGGAAAGTTCATTGCTTGTAGAAAGCAAGGTGTGAGATACGGTAGAGAGACTGTTGAGGCTCTCACGTATGCCAAGAGTGGGCATGTGGCTCTGAGGATGAAAATAAATGGCTCTTACCTCAGCAGAGCCATTACCTCAATGGGATCACAGAGACATGGTGGAATAGCTCACATGATTGGAGTGGTCCTGTGACTACACATGTCCTCAGGAAGGAGAAACAAGTGAAATAAGGAAGAGTTCACTCTACACAAAGGAGCAGCTATATGGAGATGCACTGTGGACAAGCTGAGGGACAGAATGAGAGATTATAAATTATGATCAGAGGTGAGGGATGTGACGGTAGGCATCCACTCTGAAAGGAAGTGGGAAAAGATTTCCTTAAACTACTGGAAGAAGATTTATGATTATGAAGCAGACTTGAAGTTATCCCTGCTTTGAACAGGGTCTAGTCCGGATGGCTTTCTGAGATCCATCAAACCTAAATTATTTTAAGATTTCTTTTAATGAAGTGGAAAAATAAAATAATATCTTTATACTGCTTTCTGTGCTGAAATGAATTTCAGAAGGTGACTCGCTGGTAACCAAACATAATTAAACTGCAGTCATCTCTAGAGACCAGACCTCTAACCTCAGAATAATTATGATGAAGAACATACTAGAGTATTGTAAATGAGACCAGATTATGCAGAGCATGGCACATCTTCAGCTCTGGAAGGTATGCCTAGTCACTTCAAACTACAAATTAAAAATTGATAATCCAAGACCATGTAATCAACAATACTGTTATTTGGAGCTTGTCTTACATGTTCTGTATGCATGACAGCTTCATTACACCTACAGTGGGATGGAGCTTTCTTACTTGAACTTTAAGAATAATTTAAAAAACTGAATTTCTTGGATTCTTGTGTCACAAAACAGATTTTCTAATGTTCAGTAAAACAGGATGCACCTAAAGAAGCATGCCAGTGGTTTTTAAGAAGACTCTGCTTGTGCATCCTTACTTACAATGCATGCCTTGGTTTGCACTGAGCAGTTGCAGAACATCTAAACTAGATTTGCTTATGGATGAAGCTAAGACAAAAGATGTTCTTCAGGAATTCCTCTTGCTTTCTATACTATAAATTAAATTGATCCATAGGACCAGAAAATAGCTAATTCAAAGTAATCCCCACTGCAAAAATGTATGGTGCAGGCACTGGTAGTCAGAATTCTGTCCATTCTGTTCATTCTACAGATCTGTTCCAACAAGATTGCATGCTTGCTAATGTCATCATAAGCCTTAATGAAGACTGAATATCTACTTATTAATGAAAACCTTCATTACTTTCAAGCACCACAGCTTTATAAACTTGAGTTTAGATAGTCTAAAGGTAGCCTGATGGGGAAAAATGCCCATGGCAGTTAAGTAATATTAACTTAAAGCATTGGCATCTTCTACCATAGGCAGATGAAAACAATTTGCATAGCTTTGTTTATGTATTTCTGCCACATTTTAATACCTTACTTTTTCTCTAAGTATTTCTTCTACTAGAAAGCATTGGACAGGACTGTAGCTATCAGACTGAATTTTTATTGACTGTGTAGTTAACACATCTCCATCTGATTTACAGGGGTCTAAAGCCTCCAATATTGGTCTTATTTGACCAGACTACTTTTTATACTACATGCACAGAACTATTAAATGTGAAACATTTCTACATCTTTGTTGTTTCTGTATAAAATTTAACATACAAGGGTCACATGCATGAGCTCTGGAAAGCTTTAAATAGCAGCATATCCTTCACCTATAAAATCAGAAGCATTTGTTTGCCCGGAGATAACTTCCTGTAACACAAAAGGTAAAGTGTAAAGCCGATTATGTTGGTAGCTTACAACTCTATGAATAATCTGGTACAACTCTGGGAGAATGGGAATCTTCTTTCTAATGGGATGTCATGTCTCATTTTTCACAGGTATTCAGTACAGCAGTACAGACAGATAGTCCTGTTGTGTCTGGAAAAGTATGCACTCCATAAGGGATTAATTAATGAGAAGAGATGCATGAATGGTTAAATTCATTTGCATTTTCTCCATCAACTCTACCTTGACCCCAGGAAAAAAAAAAAATCTTTGCTTCTTTTTCATTCCACTCCACAAAGGCTGTTTTGGTGCTTCCATTCTTCTTTCCTCGTCTTATACATACCCCATCTTTGCCTTTAAAAAGCCAGTCCATCTTTCTCTTATGCAGTGGGATACATCAGGCCAGGTGCTGATGCTGCAGCTATGACAGAAAGAACAGAGAGACTTTAAAACAGGAATGTTTTATTGAAATTTAATCCAAAAATTTCTGGAGTGTCTGCACACACTCTTCTAAGCAAAAGCAGAATCACTCATTATTGTCAGTATTACAGAGATGAGGAAGAGCAAAGAAATTGCAAGCAGGGAGAGTGGGGAAAATCACCATCTCTCACACCCTCTCAGGAGCAGCAGCAAAAGAAAATACTGTGCTTCAAGGCTCTGTCCCATCTTCACTCCTTTTTCCACTGCTTTCTCTCCAGCTGGAAGCACCAGCCAGGTCCCAAGAACTAATTCCTAGTGCACTAAAATGAATAATCTTATAGCACCTGTCCAGATGCACTGCTTTTGCAAATGACCTTGATTTTTATTTTTATTTTTATTTATTTTTATTTTCTCCTGGGCCTTTGGAGGATGAATATTAGACAAGGAAACTATTCTTACTGTGTGTTTTTAAATGTACCTGTCTTATTATAGTCATACCTACTGTGGAAGGACTTTTGGGAAAAGTGAGAAGATTCAGATGAAGCTGGAGACAGTGGACATGAATAAAAATAAGCAGGGAATCTTTAATTAATTAAACTGAAATATAATCATACTTATTTAAAATTATTATTCATTTATATATTCATCCAATGTGACAACACAATTTGGTATGGAAATAAAGTCGTGCTAGTGTTCTATCTCTTTCCAATACAGATGTGTATCATATGGCCTCAGAGGCAGAAGGCATTCCTAGGCAGAGCCAACAGCTGCATAAAAGATTCAGCCAAAGCAGAAGCAGCTGCACATCTTCATAGGCACTGGACACTAGTGGTGTTTTCCAACTCTGGCTTCATTTTTTGCCAGCTGAGGAGCCTCCTCCTCATGCTCTTGAGGCCTGTGTTTCCATCCCCTCCCACCTTTCTCTTTCTAGTACTCTTGCTCCCGCTTCATTTATTTCTGCTTGCCATATTCTCCATTTCTTGTTGCCATCTCTTTCCACAGTTCTATAGTCTTTTCTTCATTTTTCTAATTAACTAAACCATCTGCAGTTTGTATCCAGTTAATGTTTACCAAATTCTAACTACGTGTTTAGAAAAGGCCAAAAGGACCATCTATTCTTCACCAGCATATGACAAAGAAATTGAAAACTCCATTTGTATGTTCTTGGCATTACCTAGATCCTCTAGGTACTTTGGCAGTGTACTTGGGATAATAAGTAAAGAAATGCAAAAATAGTAAGTTAAACCCATTTACTTCTAGACATGAACAGGAATGGGGAAGCTTAGTTAAAAGACCACCAAATCAAAGGTGGTGTGTACTGGGGAATTTAGATTGCAGCAATTGTCTACAGTGTGTGAGAAGATTTAAATTAACATTCAGAAATTAGCATCTACAGTTTATAACTTAACCCCTCAATAGATAGTCAGAAAAAGAGGCTCAGTTCAGTTTTCAGAGAAAATAATAATAATAATAATAATAATAATAATAATAATAATAATAATAATAATAATGGTATTGTTTTCGATTTTCAGTCTTTTTGTAATATTTCTGCTGTACCTCTGCAAATTATACCAACCTCAGTTTTCTGCACAGTGACAAAGCCTTTGGTGCCATTGACCAATGAAATAATTCTTGGGTTATATACTCTTTCTTTCTTCAAAACACACATTTATTGGACTACACTTTTGGTGGTTCTTCATCTTGAAAAAAATCAAATAGTGACTATGATTAAGAACATCATGGCCCCAGGCAGCAATACAGAAATGATCAGTTCACTGCAGTGATTCCATCCACAAGACTGGTTAATGAATCCTACACAGTCCATGAAATAACTGAACAACATATGGCAGTGGAAATGTGGAAAATAATCTCTCTTTACACGTGATGGCTTTTGAAATACTTTAGGAAGCCCAGAAAAAACGACACTCTGGTGCAATCTTTATAAAACAAAATTAATCAGTATAAATGTAGGGCTTTTTGGTCTCTGAAATCTTTGAGAGAGGATCAATCTGTCTTTGCGATTTTCATGCCTTAAGCATTATAGCTTACTTTCTTGTTGACTCTGTTTACCATGTAGGTTAGGCTGATCCAAAGCAGAAATGAAAATTTAGTATTACATTACCGTTAATGTAGTAGTGACTGTCAGCTATGAGTCTCTTTTCCATTTCTATTGAAGCCCTGTCACAATCTGACTTCACACATGCTTAGTTAAGGTTAGGGTTGCATGGGGCTTTCCCTTGGAGGTTTGTTCCACTAATGAAAAGATAGATTTGTTTTCCTCAAAAGTGAGTAGTATATTCTTCTGGCAGGACTATGCACAGCTTGCTGTGGTCTGACAAAGGACGTGGGAGAGGAGGAAGATGTAGAGCTGGTCCAGACATCTGAATGCATATAGCCTGTGTGACCTTGAGTCACAAAGCTAGCCCTAGCCTTATCTAGCAAGGAATTAGCTATCCTTATTACCATTTTTGGAGGTGAGAATATTTTGTACTTCTGGAGATAGAATTCTTAAAGACTTAAATTAATTCTTCAGAATAAGTCTTTAAGACTGATGATACCTGCCTTCATGTTCATGTATCTTATATAACAACAGTAAAATATTATAAGCCCATTTAAGACATCTCTTTGTACTTAAGAGAAAGCTTTAAATCATGTTAAGTAATTCATGTGTTTTGCAGTGACTCTTCAGCAATAATAAATTTTAATCATTATGGAAATTAAATAATCTCAATATGTCATGCTGGAGAAATGAGCTGACAGGAACATCATGCAGTTCAACAAAAGCAAATACTGAGACCTGTACCTGGAGAAGAGAAATCTCCTGTACTAGTAGATGCTGGAAGCCAGGTGGCTAGAAGTGATGTTTGCAGAAAAGGTATTGGGGATCATGGTAGACACTGTCCCTGGAAAGGAAAGGTTGGACATGGTGCTTAGGGAAATGGTTTAGTGGGTGACATTGACAGTAGGGGGGTGGTTGAGCCAGATAATCTTGGAGGTCTTTTCCAACCTGAATGATTCTATGATTCTATGTTACAATGATGAGAGGCTAGAGCCTGAGCTGGAAAGCATCGTGTAGAATATGTGGAATAAGGTAGGTAAGGCTGCAATTTGCAAGGTCCTGCAGTTTTGCCACCTAACCTAACCCATAAAATTGGCCTATAAGAAAGCTGGAGAGGGACTCTATCAGGGAGTGTAGCGATGAAACAAGGAACGATGGCTTTGAACAAATGGAGGGGAGATTTAGATTAGATGTAATGTGAGGAAGAAATTCTTCACTCAGAGCACAAAGCGCACATGGGAACTAGGGCTGAAGATGCACCTTGACTCTATTCTTTTCCAAAAATTAATTTTAATTACCTAAAAAACGGTGTTAAAAATAAACACGGGACACAGGATGGGAGGTGGAGGGCAGTCCTTGTGGCCGAAGGGCAGCCTTTCTCTCTGGCAAGCCAAATGACCCAGGGGAGCCAGCCTCCCCAACCCTCCTCTTTCTTCCATGTGAGGTCATCTTCCAGGCTGCTCCCAACACAGCTGCCTTTGGCCACGTGTGGGTCACTCCATCACAGAGGCTTGCTGTGGTCACAGTGGCCACCACTGCCCCACCTTTGCTCCAGTCCCTAAAAAACAGGACCCCTGCAGCTGGCCCACCATTCTCTGAGCTTCAAAGCACTCTGACAGCCTGCTTGTGTGGCAGGAAGAAGTCCAGAAGCAGTAAGGCGAGAGGCAGGCCTCCTCGGTGTGAGAGAACAGCAATGCAGTCCAAGGAAGCACCGAGAATGAAGGCACCTAACGAGAAGTGTCATGGGCAGAGGGGTAGCACCTGTGGCACAACTGACACCAGTGCCCGAGGTACCTCTGGCACACAGCCCACAGACACTTACAGGTGGTACCACTGGCACCACAACGACGTGGAGAACAGGCCACCCCCTCAGCCACACAGTGACAGGGGGCCTGGTCCTTCCCAGTGGCACAACAGCAGCATGGGACAAAGGCAGGAGCATCAGGCAGACAGCCACAGGGAGCAGACACCTGCCCATAGTCTGGAACGCAGTGTGGGACCTAGCCGTGGCCATAAACCAGACAGCTGTATCAAACCTACAAATGGGAATCAGCCAGACAGTGGCATGGGACCTAGGGGTGGAAGTGGACAAGCCCCTGGTTTGGCCTGTAAACATTCCAGTTGGAAGGCATCCCATTTGGGCAGTCCCAGGCAAGGAGTGGCTTGTCCTTCTGCCAAACATTGTGGGGCCCATGGAGGTGGATCCACCAGCAGATGTGGAGGAACCAATGGAAGTGGATCCACCTCGGCCGGATCAGACCTGCAGCTACGCTGGCATGTCTTCACTCTCTGACATCCGAGTCCACCAACAGTGTTGCAGCAGTGCCCGGTGAGCTCCCTACATGTCACACAGGCTCCATCCCAAGCATTAGCTTGGAGCCGCCAAACACCATGGACATACAGCAGGCTCACCTGCAAGATGTCCTGGCAATAAAGAACTCCGTTGCTCATTCTCAAGGGTTGTGTGGGTGCTTCTTTCCCATCCCCCAGCCCTTGTGTAAGAGGTGGCAGCCCTTCTGCACAGAGCCTCGAGGAAGAGCACAAGAGAAGACCCAGCTTCCTTTGGGCTGCTGAGCTGGGGTGACAGGAGGAGTCCCCAAGGGCCACCATGCACCTTTAACATTTGTGAAAATAGACTGAGGTGTGAAAATAGTAGTGTGTAACCAATTATAGGTTGCTAATTTCCTATATTAGGAGTGAGTTTCTATATCTGGGTAATTGGCAATGACAGAAATAGAGAAGGCTGAGGTATTCAACAACTTCTTTGCCTCTGTCTGCACTGGTAGATGGGCTTCCCATGGAAGATGGTGGATGGAAGCTGGGGGATCAAAGTCCCACCCAATATATATGAAGAGCAGGTTCAAGACCACCTGATGAATTTAAACTGGTACAAGTCTATGGGACCTGATGACATGAATCCCAGGGTCCTGAGGGAACTGGCTGATGTAGTTGCCAAGCCTCTCTCCATCACAGCTGAAAAGTCCTGGCATTTGGGCGATGTCCCTGTTGAGTGAAAAAATGGAAATGTCATGCCCCTACTCTTCAGGAATTGAATCAAGTAATTGAACAAAAAGCACTACTCTTCAACAATTAAAATAATTAGGAATCATTTCTTCTCAGAAAGAGTGGTCAGGCATTGGAACGGGTTGTCCAGGGAAGTGGTTGAGTCACTGTACCTGGGGGTGTTCAAGGAAAGGTTGGACATTGTGTTTAGGGACATGGTTTGGTGGGTGACATTGATAATAGGGTGATCATTGGATCAGATGATATTGAAGGTCTTTTCCATCCTTAATTTTTCTATGATTCTATGATAGGACTGCTCCCCACCAAAAGCATTCTCCTAGCTCTGGCAAACATCAGACTTATCTGAGCCAAAAGCCAGATCTACATGTATATCCTCTAGATAAGGACTAGCAAAAACTTTCAGTCCAATGAATGGAAATTATAGCAAATACCCAGGTGTTGAGTTGAAGAAGTAGTTATCTGAGTTGAGGAAGAAGTAGTTGTCATAGTTTCTTTCAAAATAAGTTGTAACTTTCTTTAGGAAGGAATTGTCAAAAAAAAAAAAAAGTACGATCTGAGGGCTTGGGTCATTTTTGAGGGTTAAATGGTAGCAGTGATTTCCTCATGAGGTGCAGTGGAAGGGCAGGCACCAATCTATTCTCTTTAGTGGCCAGTAATAAGACCCAAGGAAATTATGTCAAGCTGCAATGGGGGTCAGGCTGGATATCAGGAAAATGTTCTTCACCGAGAGGGTTGTCGTGCACTGGAACAGTCTCCCCAGGAACATACATGTAGTCACTGCACCAAGTCTGTCAGAGTTTAAGAAGCATTTGTACTGTGCACTTAGTCACATGGTCTGAATTTTTGGGTAGACCTGTGTGGAGCCAGGAGTTGGACTTGATGATCCTTGTGGGTTTCTTCCAACTCAGGATATTCTATGATTCTATTATTTATGATTTATTTATTTATTTTTAATCTTTCATGAAGTCTGCAACTTCATGAATTTAATAGACCACGGTTGCTTTCATCTTTGTCTCTCTCCACTCTCCAGAGTGGATTGCTCATGTATGATCTGCTTTCAATTACATTTTGAAACATCTTAGGAAAAGCATTTACATAGGATTCAAGGTCTCATTACATTTTGAAGATATGGGGCAATACTCTACCCTGAGGTAAGCCCAGATATGACTTTGCAATACATTGGAAAGGAGAGCTGCATTCACGGGACTGATGGATGGATTCCCATTCAGTTTGTATTAGAGGCAGGCACACAAGAAGTGTTCATGGTGTATCTATGACCTTGCAAATGCACACTGTTCCTTAATTTGTGCTGATTTTTTCTTCTGTCCATATGCTTCGCGGTGCTTTCACAAGAGGTATCAGATGGCTTGCTCTGACCACCAGCTTCAGATGCAGTTCAAGGTGTTGGTCATGGGCTGAATAAGAAACCTCCTTGTAGGAGAGCTGAAATGTTTGAAAGGGCACTCAACTCAAACAGCTCAAACATCTACGTTCCTGCAGATAAGGACAGTCCTTTTGAAAGAGGAATGTAGAGAGATGCACTTCTCAATTATATCAGAAGCATTTAGGCACTATTTTTTGAGAGTCTTACAGAGTATCACTTCTGTACCTTGTTTTACTAGCCAGCTGGGAGAGATATGCAGCTTAAGCCTTATACAATACCAGCACTGATTAGCAAAATAAGAACCTGCTTACTGGTTCTGGAAGCTAAAAATAAATGAACCAACACAACCAGGAGCTGTCTAAAACAAAAATGAGCCTAAAACAAACCATTCACCTGGAGCAGCACTGCCACCAGCAAATTCAAAAGTGTGGTGACCTGTAAATATCTGGGACTCTCTCTGTGAGTTGCAAAACAGATTCCCAAAATATTTTGGAAAATAAAAGACACCTTTGATCCCTGCCAGTCTTGAAGCCTGACTGTGCCTCTCCCAGCACCCATGAGCAGTCACAGCTGGGTTTGGGAGGTGCTGAGAAAATTTCCTTTGGCTGACTAGCAAAAGTGCTCAGGTGTTTTAAGAATATCTCAGAAATATATGAGACATGAAAGAAGAGCTAATTTCTTTTGTAAAATGTCTTTCTTTGTGACTTTCCTGAAATTTTCTTTGGTTTTGCATATGATTATGTGTACATCTCAAAGTTTAACAAATATGAAGGGTTCCTTCAACAACATTAAGCACATAAATAAAAGATACAAAGTCCTAAAAAATAATCAACGTTTTATTTTCTAATATTTCACTATGATAATCCTTAGTGTTTTGGATTATCTTTTACTTTTCTTCCCAGACAGAATCATGTCTACAAAGACTAAATTAACGTATGAAAAGAACTACTTTCTCCTGTTTCTAACATACACACACATGTAAGCATACAAATATAGAGACAACAACTAACAAACTACAGTGAGAAGTTTGACTCCTCAACATCTAATTGTATTTATGCATGCATTATCAGAAAATAAAAAACAAGAAGACATAATGAAATATACTTATGAAAGGGTAATGATCATGTTATTGAGGACAGTGGATGGGGATGTATGAGATGAAATCAGCAATGAGACATTTAGGCAAGAGAAGCATCTAGCTAATTTTGCCAAGAATGGAATAATAAGTCAAAAACACATATTATGATAAACAATATATTAGAAGTGCATAAGTAGTACCTTGCCTAAATCTTTTCCTGGCTTCCAGTGCTGTTGGAAACTGTCAGTTCATCTTCATCATGTCTGCTAAGCACATTCAGGGCATAGGGCTGGGGGTGGGGGGGAGAAGAAAAAAAGAGCAGAGAGAGAACTTAATCTTGGAATCCTTAAAAAGTTGCCTGCGTGCTTTTTCTAGCCTCTAGTACAGCAAACCAGGTTGCTATGGTAAAATGGGTCAGAGCAGTAAGCAAGTTAGCTTGTGCAACAAAATCAGACTCCTGGTGCAGCTCTGGGAGGCACAGGCCAAAGCAGACAGTAATCTACAGCTGAATCTAGGTCACTGGGGTGCTTTGTAGCTGCAGCTGTCCGTGTGGGACTGTGATCTCCGGCAGGGCTAACAAAACCATCATGACGGCTGGGCTCCCGCTCAACGGTTACTAGTGTACTGTGGGAGCTGCTGCTTTGTCTCCTTCAAAAACAAATTATAATTTTAGATTTTTTAATTATGGATGAATATGCAGGCAGCATGTGTCTGTGTGTGTATTATGTATGCACATTTATTTTAAAATAAAACATACTCAGCAGGCACATGGCCCATATTTTGGGAACCCATTACACAAATTAACATTCACACTCCAAATGATTATTATCACATATTTATGGGAACCATGCATCCCTCTCCATAAAGGCTATAAGGATCTGCAAGAAAATATATGAAATCTTTTCCCTGGCATACCTAATGAACATCTCCCCACCCCCCGACAAGCACCCTCCAAAAAAGCCTGGGAAAAGAAAAAACGGCTTTGGAGAATGTCAGGGAGGTCGTCCCACAGTTCAGTCTCTCACATCACCCCCCAAACATATGCTGATACACCCATCCATGCAGTAATCTATTATTATCATTTACCACTCTGTGACTGTTAGAAAAAAAAATACATTTAAAAAAAAAAAAAAAAAAGCAATCATTAATAAAAAGCCAGGGAATGGGGCCAACTCAGGAGCAGAATTAAAACAACACACCCCGCTGATGCTGATAGCACTACACGAGGTTATGCAGGCTCAAGTACAGACACAGCCTTCACCCACAGGAGGGATGCACAATGACCCATAACAGCAGAGATGCAATGAGGTGGGTAGCTCTTTTGAGTACAAGGGTTACCATGTCACACTGGTTCTCCTGTCTTTTTCCTTTTTATGTTGAGAAATTCTGTCTAGGCAGAATTTGTTGTACTTGTTTGGGATTGCTGGCTATGCAGCAGAGATTCAGGATACAGACCCTGCACACAGATGCATCAGCCTTCAGTGCATGCAGGGTGAGCCGGGAGTTCCCAGGGAACACCAGATTTACTGCGCATGCAGAGATCAACTCCACAACAAACACATGGGGGGCTGCAGTTCCCCAGAAGCCTCAGCTTCATGGCACACATACTAAATAGTTCTTATCTTGTACAAGTTGTAGGTCTGACACATCAAATGCCAAACATTTCATTGTCATGCCTTATTTCTTTCTGTCTTGTAAAAATCTGGCATAGGCAGTAGGTAGAAAGCATTAATGAAATGATGAAATATTCAGCTTTTGGATGTAGCTTTGGGACATTACTAGATGGATGGATGTCTGACACCCCTTGTGAGAATACCACTAAGGACATGGGCAGAACAAACCAGCACAAACTAAGGAACAGAATGTAATGATGAGGTCTTAGATAAGCCATGATCACTGCATATGTGCATGCCTTTACAGATACTGATTAGAAAAGATGAAATAGGTAAGGACTGCATTTCCAATGTCAGTTTCTAACTAAAGTGAAATCTCTCGTTTGTTCATATAGAAGTGCTAGGATCGTGCAGGCACACTGGACAACTGCCCTTGCTGTTGAACAGCAGCACACAGACATAACTTGCAAATGCAGGAGGTAAGTAATGTGCATTACACACGACCAATGCAATGCATTCACACATTTCTTCAAGAGGGATGTAAAATAAAGAAAAAGGGAAAGAGAAAAAGATGTGAGGACAGGTTCAAGAATGGCTTCCACTCCTGATAATAACTCAGAATTTCACTTCTCCTAATGATAAAAAATATTTTATACATTATAAAGGCTTTTACTTATTCTATCACACATGCTTCATCTTTTTTTCTTATTTCCACTGCAACTTGTCTTAAATCCTTCAGCATTCTTTTCCATGATTATTCAATGATACCTGAATAGTTCTGATAACACATCTGATATAACCAAATGATGGAAATATTTGTCTACCAGGCATTGTCTCTGTAAAGCAAACAAATGTTCAAAGGAGGAGAGTCAAATTAATCATTGGTGAAGCATTCTGCATATGAGGTTTATACCTAACAATCACCAGAACAGACTCATTAAAAGATATCCCCAGAGATATAAAGATCTGCTATTGTGTGATAAAATTCTTTTCATGCCACTGATACCCCAATAGCCAAGTCTAGAGAATGACAGGCATGGAGATCAGGCAGTCTGTGAGGTTTACCTGGATGGAAAGGGAGCTAGAGGGTTGTGATTTTCATTTGATATGAAAATTACATAGCATAGAATTTGCAATTTGATTTTCATCAAATATGTTCTGAAGGCATTTTGTCTATAACAGCATGCCTACAAAAATCTGTGCATAAAACAGAGGAAAATAAAACAAACAAACAAAAAAAAAGTAGCTGAGAAGGAAAAATAAAAATCATTTCCTAACTCTGACATGAATACAATTTTATACTTGCAAATAACTTTAGCCTTCCTGTTTCCAAAAAACTCAGTAAATCACAAACTCAGGGGACTCCACAGCCATTTACCAAGTGGAGGGATTCCAGGGCGTGGGGAGGGAGGGACAGCTTTATGGGCAGAAAAGAAACATTCCATGGAAGCAGAATCGCCAGATAAATCCCAAGTTGCAGTCGATCTGCACATTCCACTGTTAAAGAGCCATGAGTTCCTGATAAGGGGTCATTTTCTTACCCCTGGACAAACAGGCAATTCATGGAAAAGAGCTAATTAACTCTGCAATGCACTGGAAGAACTGAAGTACATGACACACTTCTGTCATGCTCCCTTCTCCAAGCAGAGTGGAGTGGGTGCTGGTTGACTGGAGAAGGGTTGCAGAAAAGGCTACCTTATAAATGTATCTCTCATAGCTGATTTTTTTCTAACCTATATTGGAAACTTTTTTTCTAATTGGAAGCAGGGGAACAGTGCTCTTCTTAAATCAAAGTGGACATTTTTGAGTTCACCTCCTTGAAGGGAAGGGAAGGGAAGGGAAGGGAAGGGAAGGGAAGGGAAGGGAAGGGAAGGGAAGGGAAGGGAAGGGAAGGGAAGGGAAGGGAAGGGAAGGGAAGGGAAGGGAAGGGAAGGGAAGGGAAGGGAAGGGAAGGGAAGGGAAGGGAAGGGAAGGGAAGGAGGAAGGGAAGGAAGGGAAGGGAAGGGAAGGGAAGGGAAGGGAAGGAAGGAAGGGAAGGGAAGGGAAGGGAAGGGAAGGGAAGGGAAGGGAAGGGAAGGGAAGGGAAGGTTTCCATGTCCTGGTGATGATGAAAAGACAAATCTTGCTTGCTACAGGACATCATCATAAACACAGCTATATCATACATGTGCTCTTCTTAAATCAAAGTGGACATTTTTGAGTTCACCTCCTTGTCATTTTGTAAATATAACAGTCCACATTTTGTTGCCTAGAATGAAATAACGAGGAGATTAATTTAATTACTTTCTTAGCTAACACCTGTACTGAAAGATGCAAGAATACATGTGATCTACTTTCCAGTCTGAAGCTCATGACTGTTCATCTGTACACTAAGTTATACATTGCCTTACCAATGACCTTACGGATTTCATCAAACAAGTGTTGGCAGTTTCCCACTGAATCACTTAGTGTAACTGTGGACTCTTCTCTTGTTTACAGACATCAGGGAATGCCTTAACAGAGCAATTATTGCCTCATACCACTTCAAATACTGATGCGGGTGGAAAAAGACAAATGTCTGAAGCATGTTCCCCTCCCTGGAATGTGTTAGGAAAAGACCAGTCCCTCAGTCAATAAAAAGGATTGAATCTCTTTTCTACAGAATGAACTCCTTGGAGGATCTTCATAGCTCAGGCAAATACTATTTCAAGAGATTCTTCAGCAATCAGGCCATAAGCTTCTCTGTGAGTATACTAAAAAATAAATACATGATGAGGATTCAGCCATTTGGTAAGTAAATTAAGGGTACTACAGCAGTTACAGTCACATTTTTGACTTAGTAAATGACCACAAGGACCAGTGGTGGCAGATACTTGCTGGATGAGTATCATCTCCAGTATCCCCAAGTGTTTTGCTTTGGATCCCTTCAGTGTCGGCTATGAATTAAAGCAGTAGCCAGTTGATAAAATATTTGAAATAAACAGAGAATCTGCTAGAGCACACTGGCCCTGGTGCACAGAATTTTAGTTCCAACTGTGCAAACTAAAATAATGAGCCTTTTAAACAGAAATACTTTAGGCAAAGCATAATGTCTGGCAAGGTAACTGGAGAGGAAGTATCTCATGTCATCCATGTGGAAATCTCTAGCCGTAACAAAAGCTTCCTTAGCCACTCAGTAAGTGACTAAAGTTATAAACATTTATATCACAGTTAATTTACTTTCAACTGTAGTTTGGAAAGCTCCTCTTGCTCTGTTAAATGATGCTGCTAAATGTCATATTCACAGTTCTGGAAAGTTATTGTCAACACTTTGCTATAAGTGGATATTAATTAATACTAAATTGCAATGACTTACATAAAACCCCAATGGACACCAAAAGAGAAAAAGGAAAAAGAGAAGAAAATAGAAAAAGAAAAAGAAAAAAAGAAAAAAAAAAAAAGAGTTCATCTTCTGTGTTACTACAATGAATGAAAAAAAAAATGGTTTTTCACTTATTAAATCAAAAGTTGTCAAGAACTACATTCAGCTAGTAACCATTTGTTTCAAGTCAATGCTGATGCCTGTCATATGATGAGGGAATATTAGATTTGGTAACCTTACTGGCACACGTCAGGTCAGAAGAAACATGGCCAAGAAACACAGAACTCTCTCCTCGGAGTAACACTTATCATATCTGCCTTGCATGGTACCTAAGAAAAATGAATGAGAACAACTGTACGGAAAAATATCCTTGAAAGTCTTATGGGGGAAGAACGTGGCAGAGTGGTAGAGATGACTGTAACACTTCCAGATTTTCCTGGAAGCACATTTTATTGATCAGAAACTGGAGTCAATAAACTCACTTGAGATCTAAAATTGCTAAACAAAGTCAATGAAGAAAAATTTAAGTGTTATGATCAACTCAGTATATTTATGGATTCAAGAGATGGGAGTTTTCAGACTGTTGAAAGTCTCATGGAAGCCAATTGTGACTTAGGCCACTGTTTTGTAAGAGCAAGTAAGAGTGAAAAAGTGAGTTGCAACATGCATGAACCACATAAAAAAGACTTGAGTCAGTTATAAGATATCAAAGACAGACAAAATAAAGACTGTTTTAGCAGATTAACAGGCTTGAAACTTTAAAATGTATCATTAAAATTGCAGAGGATACTCATATAAAGAAGACTATGAGAGAGGAGATAAGAATAGCTGAAGAAGAGACTATAAAAGTTATTTAATGGGTAATATGATCAATATTGTGGAAAATGACACAGAGCAAACATACATCAAGGACTAGTTGCCTCCAGAATTGAAATCTACATTCTGTTGAGGGACATGATAAACAAAACCAAACACAAATAAAAAAAAGCAAAAGACTTTTAAAATTTAAAAAAAAAAAAAGGTTTTGTATGTCATGGTGGAAGGGATGTAAGATTAACCTTTGAGAAGGAATTTTGAAAGATAACTGTGGGTGAAAAAAAGCTAAAAGAATGAGAGCAAGGAAGGACAAAATTATTTTTTTTTATTTCACAGATTGTAATTATGGAGTGACACAATGAGTTAGAAAGGGAAAAAAAAATCTAAGACAAAAGCACAGTCAATCTTCAAAGAAGATCTGTGGAATTTGCAGTTCCTTTACGTTGTCTGATCAAAAATTCCCTATCGCTGCAGAGGAAGACTCTTTCACTTGCCACCATCTCCTACATGCTATCACGTCCTTTTCTCCAAATCCAGTGCTCAGCTGGTATTTCAGCAAGAAAATTCAAATTAATAAATTCACAGAAAACTAACTCGGGAAAAAAATAATTTTCAGCTTACTTAATCAGCTGAATCTGTTAAACATAAAGTTAAGAAACAGAGCTGTCACTAAGAATCCAAAGAACATAAAGAGATGCTTTCTTTTGTGTTGACAGTGAGCTACTAGATTTTCTCCATTGTCAAATTGGGCCATATGTTGAGAATGACCAACATACAGATGTTCAAGACCAACAAAAGTATTATTCTCAATTATTATTAAAAATTATTCTCAATTAGACTTGAGAACTGGAACAGAGTAGAAGAGAAAGACAGAATAAGAAGCAATAAAATTAATATCTTTATAAAGTATTACAGGAAGCCAACAAATGTAAATGGTATGTGAGATAAAACAGTTTACTCAAAATCCATGAGAAATCAAATACAGGATTTAAGGTTCTGGTATCTCTAGTGTGGGGCTCAAAGTTAGGATGGCAGACACTAAGAATATCAAGAAAAATTATTCCTAAAGTTCGGCCTATTCACTGATTCAAAAAATGTTGGAAAAGTCATATGGAGAATGACCCAATTGTTCAAAACAAGAACTGCAAGAGGATTGAAGATATATTTCCTTGGCCGGGAAAAATAAAGGCAAATTTTGAAGAGACTTCACATATAGGTTGTATGGTACCAGGAAAGAGAAGAAATAGCAAATCAGAAAGGAAAGACACATTTCCTTTTAAAGCAGAGTAGGCAGTTGACTTTGTTGACCATTACTTAACAAAACTAATCAATTGAACTAGGTAGTGTGAATGTGAAGGTTAAAAAAGAGTTTAATTAAAAATGAAATTATTTTAGGAAATATAATGTTAAAAGAATGTCACTGTAAGAAATTGACCTGATTTTCAGAAAAAATTATTCCGTGTTTTCAGTGTTAATGAAATGGAACTGGAAACTGAAATTTCTGCAAATACAAGGACTGAGATATATCTGTTACAAAATGGGTATGAAGTCAGAAACTTTGAATATAAAGGTACGTAAACTGTAGAGACTGCAATAGCTGACACTATCAATGTGGAGGCAGTTGCAACACAAGGTTATCAGGTTAGGGGGGAACCATGTCTTGCAAAGAAAGTAACCTTTTTGCAGAGTTCATGTGATTTTCTGTAGAAATTCCAAAAAGATCAAAATCAAAATCTGCTCAAGAACAGAAATCGAAAAATAAAGTTCTGACTATGAGGCAGAGGCAAACCATTATCTTACTCAATTCACCTGGTAAATGTTCGCAGAAGCCCATAAGTTGTTGGATGTTTGCTGTTGTTTTTGTTGTTGTAGTTTTGTTTTGTTTTCTTGGTGTCACAAACAAATGAATGAAGAATGAATTTCAAAATAAACAGTGGGGCTGATTACAATGCAATTTCTGGAAACACAGATAAATATTTTGTGACACGCAAATAAATGGTGACTTACCTGGCTCAAAATCAAAACAAATCTTAATTTATACAGTAAGCATAAAATGAACTCATGCAGTAAAGTCATACAAGCACTCCTGTATGAGGAGAAATATAATCAAAACACTTCAAAGTAATGGAACAGGAAGTTTTCTGCAAGCTTGTTTTGAAAAACAGTCTGCAAATGTGGAAGATCAGAGGGCAACTAAAAACTTAGGGAAGTTCTTTAGGCTTAGAGAGGGAACTTCCTTCATGACCCAGAGCTGATAGTCTGTGTTCCATCCTGAAGCACAAGGCAGAGGACATATTGTATAGAGACCCAAACATTTTCAAGGTAAAATTATCCTTGATGGCTACCATCTGAGATAGACTGTCTCATCATTACAACTTTATATCACATATTGGGCCAAAACATTTGAATAAAGATATTAGGAGCTAATAATCTTTTCTAAGGACAATTAAGGAGAATCTCTCTTCTTGGTGATTTTTAAAGCTTAACTAGATAAATCACTGCTATAAGGCCCCAACACTCTGACATAACTTTGAAGTTAGTCCTGCTTCAAGCAGGAGACCAGTCTAGATGGCCTCCAGAGGTCACTTTTGACCTAAATTCTATGATCAAATGATTTTGTCTGTAATAGGAACTTGTGAAGAACAGACTTTGAAGTCCACGGCTTTAGAAAAAAATAAATCAAAAACAAAATAATGTTTGGAATGAATCCAAACAAATAAACAAAAATATTGTTTGTTTCTGTAAGAAACATTTCATTCAGCCTTTTAGACTAAGCTAATGAAATGCTTTTCAGGAAACAAAACAAACAACCAACCAAACAAAAAACTTCCACTCAAAAACAACCATATAAGATAGTTATAATATCTGTTTTTTATTCATTTTCATTCTATTTTACTTTTACAACTTCTATTGGATTTCTATTTTCAGTAAGTACATTTTGGACCAAGAACAGAAACTCAGGCATTGCATCTCCCTAGGAAATGGACTAACCATTGGACTAGACAGCTATTACTATTAGCCTTGGTGGTCTTTACATGGTTATTAATGAATTTCACAAAGTGGAACAAAGCTACCACAGGAGCAAGGTAAGTTCAGGATGTCCAATGGGTTTATCACAGAGTCTAAGTCCTAGGGCCTATGTTGCAATAGTTAAATGGGAAAGAGAGGAGCTTAACAACTCTGTTCCTTATTTGCTCAGTTGAAAGAGTGTTGAAAACAGAGACATAATTCATGGCTCAGTCAGTAAATAAAAGCACTTACTAAAGCATTTTAATTCTGCACTGAATCTAGCCTTTAGGAATGTCATTGTATGTCCTGATTTCTGTACAGAGTTCCTTGGCATGGTCAGGAAACCACATAAGGCACCAGTGTGAAATTAGGTTATTTATGTCTTTTTAATAAACTATTGATTTGGTCATTGCACTCACAAGAAATGATGATAGTTCCCTGTCAAAGATACACTTGTACGTGTAAAAATACCCTGGATGCTCTTCTGAAAAAAAGTCTTCTTTGATGGCATTATGACCAGTGTCCCCTTATTTTCAGGTGAATTAGAGCCACAGGCTCATTTGTTTTTCACATTCCTTCTTTGATCCTTCATTGACTAGTACGATTGATTGTTCTTTCTCAAACAGTCTTATTTTCCCTTCACTCACTTGGAACCTAATTCAATTATAGACAACAGTAAAACATTTAGACATTTTAACATGCGTACATTTGTTCAGTGTTGCTCCTCTCAGAGGAATGATTTCTGCCATTTTCCTCAGATGAATTCCTTTTAATACCACAGGAATGCTGACTTTTTAAACTATAGCTTTATGTTGGTGCCTTTGATGCTATGTATCCATAATATTTTTCATTCTCAGCATGATCCACAAAGATACTTTCAAGGATGCTGAGCCTCAGAAATGATTGTTGCCATTCTTGTGAAATTAACCACATGCAAAATAAAAGATTATGCTTCTTATGGACAATTTATCACTTTAAAATAGAAACACACTGTGCCAAACCAATGCCGAAGTTAATTTCATTATATTTAATGGAGTTACTCCAGGACTGACTTCAACTAACTGCATAAAACTATGAAGAAAAAAAGAAAAAGAACTTAGACAAGTCATGTTCTCCACCATGTAAAGCTAAGTACTAACAGAACTTATCCAAAAAACATACTGCTTCACTTAAGTTAAGGTTATAAATGCATTATGATCATATTTTCCTGCATAAAACTATAGCCTAGAAGTATATGTACAGAAAGAACATCTAGAAAACTAATCATATTTAAGCTCCTAAATATAAAAGCATGAATGATAAATATAAATATCTCATTTAGAATTTTAAACTGTGTTGCCTTATAAGGAAATTGGCAATAATCAGATTAATAACATACAAATCAAACTTTGATTAAAGAGACAAAATAAAATAGATATACTCTATGTCTGTGTGTAGCCTGTTCTTAATGTTGAATGAAACTGTTATTGGAGAAGGTCCTTGGCAGGGGAAAGGCAGAAGATCAACAGGGGCTTTTCCCAGACAAACGCATCAGCCGGAAGTAAATTAGTCTCTCTCCCATTCTGTCTTCAAGAAGGAAACAGACTGTTTCCCCTGCCTCTCTATCTTGAACAAAGCAAGAAGGTATCTTTATCTTTCTGATTAGAAGGAAATGGCTACAAATGAAGGTGATGTCACTTTGAATATCATCAGCAATGGACCCATTAGATGCACTGAGGTATCCTAGCCCAGAAGTCTCAAGATGATTAGTCATGAAGACAAGAGAAGGCTGAGGAAAACAGTAGTACACAACTGACGAAAAAATGCCATCATTTGAATTTATGCTGGTACAACTCTGCCACTGACCATTAACAAGATAAAGAAGTTTATCTCAGTTTTCTTCTTCCTTGTTGGGTGCTGTAACATTATAACATTTTAAAAGGGAGGATAAATGTGCAAACACCATTGGAAGCTTGTGACTGGCTTCACCCTGTTGGAAGATGATCTCTATGAATGTCTGCCAGGTAAAGTTCCACAGTGAAGCTCAGCAGGAGATGCCAGTGAGATACAGAGAGGAGATAGGCATCACCAATCAAGCAGCATGAGAGAGAGGCAGTTCTCAGCAAGTACAGCAAATCAACTTGCAGAGAAAAACTATAGAGACATCTAAAATTTGAAGCATTCTCATCCACAGCTGTATCAAACCTTAACTATTTAGCCCTATCTCCCTCTGCCAGTAAAGACAGTCAGTAACTATTTCATAGGAGGAAGGAAAGGAGGTGAGAATACTTGGAAGTCTCTGATTCTTGGGGTCTGTCACAGACCTGACTTGGTCTATAATATGTCTTCACTGCAGCTAAATTCTGTATTAACAGGTCCACAGATCTAAACATGACAAGTGAAAGTATCAGTCACTAAGCAATACCCCTAAGGAACCTAAAGGTGAGTGTAGGCAACAGCCCCAGCCTCAGATTCCCAGGTGGATTTTCTACTCTGTCACAGTGTCCTATGAAATTCAGGCTGTCTAATTAGTGGTAACGAATTAGTTTTAGCTGCCTTTAAACTACAACATCAGCATTAAAGAACCTTTGAGGTGTTAGTCCACTGAAAATATCTGGATAAAATTCTCTAATATTTAGTTAATTATTCCTGTAAACATAATTCCTGATTATTGTTATATTTCCAAAAACTGGAGAAAAAAAAAAAAAAAAAAGCCAAATATAACTTCTATTTGAATGAAAAGTCCTGAAATAGTTGGGTTAATGGGTCTTACATGGTTGTTTATTAAGGATCTATCTCTTATGTGTGAAGGCAGAAAAACAAAATGCTCTAAGATACCTCTGCATTTTTCTTTCCTCTCCTCAAATTATAAACATGCAAATATTAGTTAAATTTCAATCCAGAGAGAAAGAAGAAGGAAAGTGTAGACAATACATACTGCCAAAGAGAAGATATAAATGAACACCATACGAAAATACCTGAATAATTTAGAACAGACACTGTGAAGACAGAGAAAATGCTAGAAGCAAAATCCTTTTTATTGTAACAAATTCCTCAGCACTTTTCAGAAAGTATGTGGATTAAAGAAAAAACAGTGCAGATAGGGTAAGAAGTGGCAGCAATACAGGAGAGGCAAATGGGGCAGGAATGGCAAAGGTAGAAGCAACAGGAGCATCCCTGATGTGACGTGTTCAGCCATGGCATTTTGAGTTGAGGCTTTGCTGCTGTCTCCTTCCTCCTGCTCTCATCTTACTCATTCCTGTGCTATGCACAGTCCCCATTACAGCCATGGTGAGGAAAAAAGCAAAGCCCCCCCCCCCAAAAAAAAAAAAAAAAAAGGGCTCTTTTGGGCTCTTTTGTGACTTTCCCTCTCTTTCCCTCTTTCAGCTTTGTGGGAGATTGAGACTGAGCTTTGTCACAGACTAGTGGCCTGTGACAGTGGTCTGGGGAGGTGAGCATTCTCAGAGCAATGAGACACAAAGACAGAAAAAGAGCTGCTGTAATCAAATGGGGAAAGGGATGGAATATTTGCCTTGACTGTATTGTAAAAATAACAGGGAAATATGCTTCTTAATTGGGATGACCATCTGTCTGTTTGGGGGACAGTCTTATTTAATGCTTCCCAGGGAAAAAAAAAAAAAAAAAAAAAAAGGCCCCGCAGGATTTTGATGTTAATTTGAACCTCCTATAATCTATTTTACCTTTGCCAGAGTAAATCCTGCTTTGCTTAAACTGTCCCTACGTACCATCCACCACAGAAGTTTCTTAGGTGGAAACCCTGCCACTGTTTACAGTTTGTAGAAACAATATACGATAACTTAGAACAGTAAGTAAAAAGGAAAAAAAAAAAAAAAAAAAAAAAAACAGGAAGTAAAACATGGCAGTAAACCAAATGAAACTAGAAGGGGGCTATGTGGGCAGAAAGTGATGAGTCAGACTGGTATTTTGGAAGAGTTGCTCATCTGTCTAAGAACTGTTAGGTCACTCCCTTAAGAAAGAAAGATTAATACTGTTCTGTCTTGACTTAAAACACACTGATGATAGTGGGTAAACCTGCCATACTTTTCAAAAGTAAATGTGAGAATCTACTGAAATTACTTTAGGGAAAAAGGTAGTGAAAATGAGCCTCGTATTCCCCCCAGAACAGTAATGGACCACTGCCCAAAAGGAAGACAACATGAGAGCAGATCTTTTACTACAAATACTTTTATCTATGTTCAACTGTCTGTGAAAGAAAGGGAAAGAGAGTATAAAAGCCAACCCAGGAGACAGAGAGGGACTGGGCTGTGGGAATGGCCTGAAGGCACCACCTGAATGTGGTGTTACAGGACTGTGAGAGCACGTGCCAAGAAACAACAGGCTACATTGTCCTGCAGGCGGAGGAGCAGAAATTTGTGCATTCCTTGTAAACCTAAATCCACCAGTGAGGTCTAGTTCTACCACCAGCTTTACCCTTATTTTTAAGAGAAACACCCTGAAGAATTGCAACATTTGGTTAACTGCTAGTATTAAAACAGGACAACAACAATCCTGCTACCATAAAATATACCCTGAGGTATTCTCATTATCTCTAGTATTCAGTGTTTCTATTACATTTACATAATAGTGTTTGTATGATATTTGATCCAAAATATGACAACATGAAGCTGGTATTGCATCATGTTACGATGTTAAATTATGTATGTGATATTGTACCAGAACAATGATTTTTTGCAGAAGAGGTTTGAGCACTCCTAAATTAAATCCAGAGATAAAATCACATGACTTCAGCTTTGATTTTAACCTTCAAAGTCACACTGAGGCTCAAAAACGTAAACAGTTAATTTTTCTGTAATTTATACAAATAAAATAAAACAATAATGCAGTTTCTCCTGGAGATTCTGTCTTTGTTTTTATTTGCAACTCAGAGTGTAATTAAGTGAGGGTAAGAACCCATACACTTAAATAAAAAGTTCTCTGAAAAATTGGTAGGAAAAATCAAGCATTCTCCATAAAATTCTTCCTCTCTCCAAATATATATATATTTTTTCCAAATATCTAGTAATGGCATGTGAAGATCCATTAGCCATCACTGCAGCTCACAGGACTGTAATGTTCTAGTAAAGTGGAAATGGCTTTGAACTAAAGACCTTAGCTATATAGCCCTTGTCATTTTTGTATTTGAAAGTTCTACAGCCATCAGTACATTAGCATACAAGACAAATCTGATAAGAAAGCGTTACTCTCATATTATGCCTAAACTTCAAGGCAATCAAGATATTATATATAACTATGGAAGATTTCCTAAATTCTATTCCAAGTGGTTATTCTACATAGTGTTACCATACTCAGGCTATAATCCATCACAGTCATGCTTGTTTAACCCACTAAGGAATCTCAGCACAGCTGAAGCCATTATTCTCTTGAATCTATTTATATTGTGAGATATGTCTATTGGAACTGGCTCTCATTTTGCACTCTTCCAAACACCTCCTTAGTATCTTCTTAAATTAGTTGTATCAAACAATTAAATTTCATGATAATATAATCAAAGAACACAGTATTCAAAGTTGTAGGAAGTGCCATAACATGCTAAGAAACCCAAGGAAACTAATCTCTGGGAAGTTTTATAGGAAGAATAATCTTGTTCCATTTTGCTATTTTGCACTTCCATTCTAGAACAAGCTTTCTGTAGTTGGCACTATTGTACTATGGACATGAGTGTTTGGAGAAGTCTTGATCACTTGAAATAGGTTACTCATTACTTGAAATAATCAGAAACTCAGTAAAGACAAGGCAGAAATAATACAGTAAGGAATCAGCTGCTGTGGGTAGGAAAAAAAATGATGACATAAAGCCTGGGGCACTGTAGCAGAGAAATAAAAGAAAACTAGGAAGCTAGTTTAATAGCTAGCAGCAAACAGCTACGTCCAGTGATCTTATCAGCCTAAATGGTTACTGGCTATCTAAGAGAGGCTGTTTGGGTACAAGTCAGAAAAAAATCTTCCAACTCCCACCTCAGCAAGCTGTCCTTGCACTGCAGCCCTCACACAGTATCTTTAAAGGAAGGAAAAGCCAGGTAAGGGGAAAAATAAAATATAATAATAATAATAATAATAATAATAATAATAATAATAATAATAATAATAATAATAATATAAAGACTAGACTGTATTGCTGTAGTTCTTTGTGCACAGAAAAATTGTAAACAGGAGTATGAGCAAGGCCACATTAGAGAGACTGGCAGCATGAGACAAGTCCATAACTTTTTTATTAGTCCCTTTGGCACTCTTTCAAAGCAATAGGCAAAATCTCTATTACCCTCAATATATTCTCAGTTGCTTTAGTATTGGTGTTATGAAGACAACATCATACTGATGCTGCAGAGTGGAGTGACAGCATGCCACTGAGCTCAATAGTGATTATCAACAGTCTGTACTTAAGACCCCTCCCATTGGATCTGATGGGATCATAGAGCAGAAAGGCAACATGAAGCTCTTTATGTATGCAAGGAGGTCTTATGGAACCCATGTAATGACCTCCAGAGAGATGGAATAAAAGGCACAAGCAGAAATGAACCACTTTCAGTGAGAAATCTCTTTAAAATACTAATCTCTTGCAAGATTCTTGAATGCCAAGATATTCCCTGAAACATTTCAGGAATGATAAACGACAAGTGAATAAATATTGTGTCAAGTGTTAGTCATTTAATACTCTGGAGCAATGTGTCTTTAACAGCATACCGTTGTCACTCTGCTGTGTCAGAGACACGATTCTAGTATATCTGTCGTTGTAGTGTCCATTAATCACCCAGGAAGAGTTGGTCTAAGATGAATTTTGACCTAGCAGTACAGTAATAGAGACCAGGTACATTTCTATTCACATCTATAATAAAAAATACCAACTAACATTATCCTGACATGAAAAGAGATTATTTCAGAAAAGGATGTCTAGGGAGTTGTTCCTTGTGCAATGTAACATAAAGCTGATTTACAACCTTTAAAACTCAAGGTGGTCTAAGGAGTTTTGCAAAATATGAATTCACTGTGCCTCTCATTTCTGTTAGCATGATATCTCTGTTAGATGCTGGGTCTATATGGGAGCATCAGCTTTACTCTGAATTTATATTTTACAAGTCAGCATATTACACAAAATCCATTCCAGTGGCAAGCTCTGAGGCAGCAGCATCCTGCATATAAACATCTGTAAGCCACAGTGAAACACTAAAAGTAAGTAAAAGAATAAGTAATAATTCTGATTGCTGAGTGTAGATAGAGTGAAAGGTTTTAAAAGTTTTCAGTTTTCAAAGACTGGCTTAAAAATGTAGGTGCCACTATAACTTTGAAGGCCTGCAGTGGCTCTTTCTCCACACAAAACTGATTTTATTTAGTCAGAGACAGACACATAATATTTCCTTACAAGGGATTTATTATGAGTGCCCAGAACAAGCACTTATAGGATCTCCATGGCCCCCAAAAATGCATTTTAAAGCTTTCCTGTCAAGTAACCTAATCCCAGTCTTCCACATTGCTGTCCAGAGGCCCTGTCCCCTGAATCCAGCTGAAGGCCACAAGGATCCAGTTGCACAAAGCTTGCTCATGGATCATTCAGTCTCTCATTGCATCTGTAGTTCACATTTCACACCTCAAAATACAGCACACCATTCATATTAAAAATCAAGTGTGGAAATATAACAAACTGCTGTTGAAAATGACTCTGCGACAGCACGTTCAT